ACTTCCTGCTGCTTTTATACCGAAAATGACCCAATAACAGTCAAAAAGAATGAATAAGGGTAAATAGAATAAGTCATACTTAAACTAGTCAAAAGATCAGGGTGAAACCTAAACCTGACTAAACGAAATAAAAGTAGGCATAAAGTCTATCAAGAACATATCTTTATTTTTATTGTTCTATCGATGTATATTTTCTGGAAAATTAACGTAGACATATTTATTGATTAAAGGACTATTCCATTGCTAATCCAAACAAATCCCAACATATCAAGGTTCTTTAAGAGTACACATTGATGACAAAATGATACCAAACACCAATATTACCTCAGGGTAATGCTGCCTATAGCTACATGTACATGGCATAATGACAGATCCCACATTTTAATCATCTCAATGTATATATTGTCATAATACCCAACTGTAAAAATAAACAACACTAAAAGGGACTGTAATACACTATACTGACATTTAATTAAAAATATAACTCTGAATTACATCCAAATAGGTCAAGTAAACCCCCAAAACAACTGAATTTAGTTACAAAAAAAGTCAATCTAAATTAATTTACATCTGCTTTAAACAAAATTAAATTTAAGATCAAGTAAAATAAGCTATAACAAATGATGTATTATAATTGATTAATTAATTAAACAAGCTAAACATGAAACAGCGGGAATAGATTTTTTCTAAAAAAAAATCTAAGTAAAATAAAGTTCACAGTTGACATGACACAACTCTGTCTCCTAAAAATCCTATAATTGACAGCAAGGCTCCAGACTAACTTTGTTTTCTCCACCGTCCCAAGAAATAATTTCAACGGTCCTGAAGTCAGTGTAAGGTTTCAAAACCTCTAAATGTTTTCCTTTGACCCTATTCTCATCTATAGTGGTTATTTGCATAAAAATGCACAATTCAAATTATTAAGAAATTAATTATCATGCTTTTTTTCATATTTGCTTTCATGAAACATTTTTTTGGGGGGTATTAGTAGTTTTAATTGTGTATTATAAGCTGCTTAGAGCTAGTGTTAGGAAGTTAAACAGGTCACAACTCCCTCTCTAATATCTATTTTATATCACTGTAAGAAAATATCCTTCAAACAACTATTTATTCAAGGTTGTAGCCTCCATTAACATTTATTAGTTACAAGCAAGACTGTGAGAGACTCGGTGATTACTCTGAGCAGCATGCAGGAGAATTAATTACAACATAATTAGTGTCTGATTAAGTTAGATGTTCCAAATGGTTTTAAGGTTGTTTCTTCACGACTTGTATTTGACTTACAGTAGTAAATAAAAGTCACAGATGACGTGTGTGTGTGTGTGTGTGTGTTAGGTGTGCCGCTGTGTGTGCCGATGTAAAACTAGCAAACGTGTGTAAATATGACCAGCAAAAAAAATCTAAAATATGAAATGTGTCATCAGTCATGGCATACACGCTGAAAATCGTCCGCTTCCGATTGGCAGCCGATCGATCGGTGCATCTATACTTAAAATGACGTTCCCATAGAACTAAACTGTAACTACATATCGCGAGAAAGGTATTTTCTCCCAGATTACAGTCACAGTTTTAACATGTGGTTAAAATGTAAACTGAAACAAATTTAAGGAAAAAAGCAACAACATGACTTAGTTCTGTTAAAGCAACACAGCTGCTTGGTTAGATTTAGTCAAACATGGCTTGGCTTATAATAAGGAAGTTTTCTACGTTGTTAAGTTACTTCTATTTTCCCACAGAGCACAAACAACTGTGATCTGGCAGAAAGTCCCATGTTTGAATTTTATTAGAAACGTATTTGTAATACCATAAACACAAAAGTAGTAAAAGACGTATCCCTCAAAAGGTATTTGACAATGCAGTTCCATTGTATGGGGTTCCGTTTTTAAGAGACCAGGCTGCTCCACACTAAAGTATTTGAGAAGAGAAACACAACAACATGAACTGAAGTGAGCCTGCTCAGTGTGCTGAGTGGAGATGAGATCAGACTGCATGTCAGAACTGTTCACCATGGCAACCACAGATTATCTGATTAATTAATGAACCTTTTACTGCATCACCAGCTACTGTTGTTAATCATTCACGCACTGCGTGGCCTTCAGCTAACATACTAAAACGGAGCGTTTGAGACAGCAAAGTAGTGAGCTCTGTGTGTGTGTGTGTGTGTGTGTGTGTGTGAGAGATCCTTAGGCTAACTGGGTGGGAGAAGACTGGTAGAAATCAATGACATGGGTGTCATAAAAGGAATGTTTCTTTTCATAAAAAGAAATCAGAGCATATGCTGTAGCCTGAGGCCTTGGTTCCACCCCTAAAATCCTTATTAGAGTGAGAAGCAAGGATCAAAACATTTAGCCTTTCAGCCTCACAGATGCACCAAGCAGACCAAAAACGTGTTTAGTTTTAGACACTTTAAAGAATAGCACGCGACTTATTCTCGATATCCTTACATGAAACTACAAGATATTAGAAACCCTTAAATATCACACCTTCTCAGTTTTCTTCTGTTAGTGTATGTGTGTTATTAAAGTGTAGTTATATATGTGTTTAGTTTTCTCTCTCCTTTTGTCTCAGGGGATCTTCACCGGTTAGTCTCTATCTACACACACACACACACACACACACACACACACACACACAGACACACGCACACACACAGACAGCCTCACAAACACTAACAAAACAAAACAAAAAAACATGTCACAACAGAAGAAGTGCATACGAATGTACACAGACACTTTCAACCTGCAGGTTCTTGTTCATAGTTTAATATAGATCTTTGTGGGTGATTATGAAACTCCTGTGGGAGTCTAATAGTCTTATTTACTCTCTGTGTGTGCATCCGTGTGTGTGTTTAGGTGTGTTGACTAGAAATAAAGGAGCTGTGCTACATTTTAGCAGCGTGTTTTTATCCTCCTGTTCTATGCGAAATCAAAAATTCATTCATCATTATGTTGCAAGCGCCAATATGTTTCGACTGTACTTCTGTACATTTAAATTGTGTGTGAAACAAAAACTCACTTAAATGTATTTTCCCTGTAACACTCAGATACAGTGGCGGGCCGTGCATTTTATACCTGGGCCTTCACTGCTACTGTTATTATTTGTTTTGTGTAAAAATGAAGCTCAACACCTATAAATACACAATCTGCAGAGTGCAGATATGAATACGCCGACAGTGTGTCTCCTCTCTTCTCTGACTTCTCTGACTACATTGATGTAATGTATTCAAAATTTGTTGAACTTTGCTCCACCCTCTCGTGTCACTTCTGGTTGCAAAAAAAAAGAAAATGGCAACAGCCAAAATACCGAACTCCAGGCTTCAAAACTGAGGTTCACACACCAATGGGTGTTGCACGTGACTATGTGAACTGCTTATGTACAGTCTATGACACAGACACAGTTAGCAACTAGCTGGAGCATTTAGCAGCTAAAGAGCCAAAAGACATTTTGAATTGACCCAAACTGTGACAAGTAACTTTCATTAGCTGAAAATAAATCAGACCTGTCTATCACAAGGTAGCAACGCCCTAAAGCATACTCTGCATTATCTTCTAATTTATTCTAAATGGACCATCATTTACTTAATGAACATCATGCTGTATTGAAAAAGACCTGCAACTAGCGATTAATTCCATAAACTCATCTTTACAACATTTACTGAGGTAATAACTCAAGGAAGAAGTAGGGTCATTTTTTCATAGACTTCTATATAATCTGATTTATTTTTGCAACCAGAGGAGTCGCCCCCCTGCTGGCTTTACTTTATGAAAAAGTAGACAGCAGCTGACTGAGCTATTGCTACAAGGCCTGATGGAGTTTATTCACCTCATTAAAAGTAGGCGAAAAAGGCTAAACACATTAATTAACTTTCTCATCAGTTTGAAATTTACTTCTAATATTTCTATAGGCTAGGTACTTGCAGGATAACCAACGTTTCACCCGTATTTATCTTAAATAAAGTATCCAAAAAGCTCAAACTGGTAGATTAGATATCCGCACACTTTAATCTATGCAGAGAACATTTTTTTATTTTTGCTTTTGGTCATCAGAGCATGCCTATGCGTTAGGTACTAACATAACATAATGTGGGCTGCATCTTGTCCAAATATTCAGACACATTTCTAAAGGATTTAAGGTTTACTGTAGGGTTTATTTGATCAGTGAAATAGAAACAACATCTGTCTGCCTCCTCTTCACGCCCCAACCCCCCCACGCTTGATCTCACATAAGGATCCTATAAAGTTTCTGCGGTCCAGTTCAGACGCATGCGCAGTGGCAGCCCCGAGTAGCGTGTGTAGTAGTATTATTATTGTGAATGGGGGGGGGGGAATTTGGACGTACAGTCACAAGAGCGACACGACGGAGCCAGGAAGTAGACTGTTGATGCTTTCAAGTACTCGTCGAAATTGCCGTAATTTCAAAACTTTTCACCTTTCAAGTTACAGAGAGCACGAAAACATGATAAAGAGATCCTTAGTGATATACAACAGCTGGAAACACGAACTGTGACGGTGGCGCTAATTGTGTTATTACCTTGTATGTTGGTGCATGCTTCTAATTATTGTTTGGGACTTTTTTCATTTCTAGGCTGTTTGTTGACGTTTTAGCTGTAAGAATAAATCATGTTTAGCCAATGACTGTTTATATGTTATTGTTTTACTGAACAATGCTGTAACTTTTGACTGATTCAAATGTAAATTATGCCAAGCAGATATTTCCTCCTCTGCCACCAGAGCAACAAAACAGACCTGTGCCATGCGATTCATGACTGTAATTAAAGCCTTCATATTATAGGCTATACTTCGCATACATAGGGATAATCCTTTGTGTGATATACATTAGCCTATTTGTGGCTTGAATGCGCGAATAATCAGCAGGACTACCGGGGAGGAGCACTTGAAAGTTGCAGGTAGACCAGAGCGCTCGTTTATTGCCACTTACTTGAGATCACACGCTAGTCAAGAGAGAGAGAGAGACGCAGAGAGACACGGACAAATTGAGCTTTATCTTTCGAGGTGGGTCACTGAGAGCCATTTGGAGCCAGAGGCGACTCGGAGCGCGCAGTCAGACGCAGATCATCATAATAAGACCAGGAGTCAGAATCAGAGACCAGCAGCAGAGAGCACATTGCTCCACACAGAGAGAGAGAAAAAAACACTCATACACGGAAGAGAAGTGAGTGAAAGAGAGGCAGAGTGAGGGACGGACGTCAAGACGAACAGTTGAAGTTTTACTGTGCGGGATAAATACAAATAATAAATACTAAAAAAAGTGAAACTCAAAGAAACCGGAAAGTGTTGGTGAAGATGCCGCGGGTAGTCCCGGACCAGAGGAGCAAGTTTGACAATGAGGAGTTTTTCCGCAAGTTGAGCAGGGAGTGTGAGGTGAGTCAGTCGGCTGTGTTTCTACACACTGGATCCATTCTGTTAGACGGCGGAAATAAGGACAGAGAAGAAGAAGCTCGTTAGAGGAGAAAAGCATGCTGGCTGGCGGCTCGAATTATTTTGAGCTTCATACTCAATTTATTTACTGAATTAGTTCAGTGGTTGCTGATATTAATGTATAAATAAAATCACCCCATTCAAAAGAATGATCGTCTTCAAAAGTGCAATGAGGTTCACTTGTATCTGAAATTGAGATTTTATTTTACACTCTGTATTCTCATTCTTCTCTTAGTTTGCTCTTTACATTTTTTTAAAAATGTTAACATGTATTATTATTTATTTATTTGATGAATAGTACAGAAACAAAGAATGATGCCTTTTCTAAATTCCCGTGGCTTATCATCAAATTACAGCCTCCTGCTGGCAATGAGCATCGCCATTCAGTGTCAAGCAGCCCTATTTTGTGCCCTATTATTGAGTGTTTTCTATTACAATTCAACACAGAGTAGGCTGCTATACATGATGTGAGTATATGTTTGTGGTGTTTAAGGTTTGTGTTTTCTTTTCATTGTAGATTAAATATACTGGGTTCAGGGACCGGCCCCATGAGGAGAGACAAGCTCGCTTCCAGAACGCTTGCAGGGACGGACGGTCAGAAATAGTGAGTACAAAATGATATTGTATTCCTTAAGTCTCCTTTATTTGTAGTGTTGATACATATCTATCTATCTATCTATCTATCTATCTATCTATCTATCTATCTATCTAATTAAACAGCACACTCGCCTCTTAACTCAGTTTTGATTCATGTATTAAACTTAGAAACCATCTTCAGTAATGAGCATTAATCTCAAGGCTGACTCCATTTTAAGAGACACATGAACTGTTATTATGAGAAGACTGAAATCAGTTCATGTTGTGCAGCAGTACAGTGCAGATACACAGACACACCGTGTGTGTGCTGATGTTCTGATGTGTCCCCGCACAAGGAAGTAGACCTGCTATCAGACACGCAGAACCACCAGACTTAACTTCACTTACAGGCTCACGGCTTCTTCCCTCTGTATTCAGCTGCAGTCATCATCATCATCATCATCATCTCAGCTTTGTTTGGTAGAAACACATCAGCGCATGTTATCACCCAGGCAGTTTACGGTTGCAACACTCTTAGGGCTGTAATTTGGGGCCTAGACATGCTCAGCTAAAGTAAATATCACCTGTCATGTCTAATTTTGCTATATACAGTAAACATGTAGTGAAGGAAGTCGACATGCAGCGAGTGAACAGGAAGATACAAATGCCTGTATGATGTACAATAATGCAACTTAGCACTACTATAAATACCAATGTACGCAAAATGTTTCCTCGTGAGCACCAGAAAATGAATCAGCTGTTTCTATAAGTGATTGATCTTGGTCTTTTTTTTCTGGCAATAATCTAAAGCATTCTCTGAACATCTTTGGGGTTTTGGACTGTTGGTCTAAGAAAACACCTTTGAGATGACACATCGGATTTCAGAAAGTTGTGACCGACACTTTTCACAATTACATATTCATTATTCAATTGTTTTTGTGTTGATTTAGATCTACAGCCTGTTGTGTTGGACTGCATCTGACATCAGCAAACCAAATGCAGGACAAAGAGGATGTTTGTGTGTGACTTAAACGAATAAACATTCTACCCCTTAGCTCGTAGCAGCTCAGTGCTTTGCCCGCTGGTTGAGACACATTCTTTGTCGCTTTACTTTTGTATATAATGTGTAAAATTCATCCTTTCATCCTTGTGTTAGCTGTATTTTATTTTTCTTTGTGGTAATTTCCATCATAAATGGAATCCTAAATGAATCCATCCTAAATCTGCATAGCTTGGGACTTCATGGTGACTTCCCCCCCCGTTGGCCGTAGCGTAGCAAAGGGGTTGATGGGTTAACCTGCACTTGACTCCACCTCAGGGCAGTTTGTTCGACATCTAACAGCCTTCCCTGCTTTCTTCACAGCCGGCTTTTAGAAAAGTGTCTGTCCTGCTTTTGGCTTTTGAAAACTAGAGCCAATCTAAATAAGGGACATCGTCTCTATACGTGGGAAGCGGAAAGAGGAATAAACAGTCTGTGCTGTCCCACATAAAGAGGAACACCTGGTCACCGTGTTTTCATTCAGCAGCCGGCGGATTGTTGTTGTAGTGAGAGATTGTTTGTGTCTCCCTCCATTTTCAAACCACACTTCTCTGTAGCCGCGTCCTCAAATGCATCCGATCATCAGATGTCCAATTTTTTGACGGATGTTTCTCAAAAGCAGGAGGGCTGTAGTGAGCTCTTCTGTCTAATCAAAAGACCACAGTGTCGCAACAAATATTGCATTCAAAACTACTTCAAGTATAAAAGTTAAGTACCCACTATGCCATCAAAGTTGTCTCTGTCAGATTTGTGTTTTTATATGCTGGATTATAACTTTTCATGTCAGCAGTATTTTAATATATTAGCTGGTTTACTTTACGCTATAACAGTGCATTCTATTTGTTATGCCCATTGTAGGTTTTTAAAATCTTAATCTGTAACTAGTCCGTACAGCCAGGAGATAAATACCCTTTACGAACGCAACACACTACGTTTCCTCCACCAGTGCCACTGAACCCATGTGACCTTTTTTGTTTTCTCTCCAAAAACTACTGCAGCATTTGTGATGATCCGTTTGTAACTTTAAAGCAAGTCAAGGCATGTTCATATTGTCATTATGCTGCTTCTTCTACTAACTTCCTATTTAACCATGTCCTCAATAAAAGGTGAAGTTAGCTGGAGAGACGACACAAACACAGCAGGGCAACTTCTGCTGTCTTAGTCATCCTCGAGGGGGGTTACATCTAGTTTTACCATCTTTTAGTGGGACATGATGCGTGATCCGTCTGTCTGTCTGTCTGTCTGTCCTCACCGTATTTATAAGCCTCTTCTGTGAGAATTGATGGTCAGGGTTTTAATGGTTTGACGGCAGCTGTGACATCATGTCGCTGATTTATCTCTGGGGCAGACGCCGCTAAAGACCTCCTGCTATTTTCATGGTCGGTGTGAACGACTATCTGACACAACGAGACTCGGACGTGCGGTCGAGGACCGCTTTTTAAAGACGAGACAGAGCAGAAAACAAATAAACTGCCGGCAATTTACGAGGATAATACTGAATTATTTTGTTGTGTTTGGTTTATACTTAAGTTTGACCCTCACTGTGCAGAATGACCTATGTGTTTTATTATTCACTGTCATCTGCTGAAGAGGGAAAGTTTTCTCTGGTACCAATTGAGTTTAAGATGTGCACGTTGTGACATCAATGTACAACTTACTCCAGTGTGATGTGGAAACACACGCTGAGAAAGGACCTTTCATGTAAATAGGATTACGTTTTTTCCAATGACATGAAGGAAGAAGTAGATGTAATTGAATTTATTTATTTTTTTATTCCGAGCAGAGTAGTTTTATTGTGTCTAAAAACATGTATGGAGGGAAACAGTGCTTTTGCTTGTCAACATGTGTCTAATTCCAGACTGACTCTCATGAAAAGCAAAAAATGTAAAATCAAAAAGTGTTCGTTTCACTCACCGGTAAGTGCTTTTCATTTTACATGTCAGTTGAGAGCAAATTGGTATTTACAGAACAAGCTTAAGCAAATAAATAAAAGGCCTGTTAAAAGTGACACATGTTTTATATTAAGTTAATGTTTTCCAGCTGCCTAAATATTTTTGCTCTTCAGAGTTTTATTCTTTTTTAAAGGTAGTGGATTTATTAACACAAATTAAACATACCTTTATGTATTCTGCATGTTATAACAGATACTGTAATTACATAGTGTCCAACATTTTTAACAATTCAAACTTTTACATTGTTTTACAATCAAAGGCTTATTTTCTACATTTTCTATGTCATGTAAAAATGCAATTTGGAAGCTGAGCTGAGTATTACTGATCTGTAGGAGTTCCAAGACAACACACACCCACACACACACACAGACGTGCAGCTGGAATCACAGGGCGGCTCTAAACTGTTCAGGATTGATCTGATAAATGGGACAATAATTCAAAGTAAATTATCTTCGGCCCAGCTCATTAGAGATGAGTCCCTTTCTCAAATGCTATTGATTTTCATGTTGCTCTGGTTTCTCCCCCTCTCCTCGCACATCTCTCTCTTTCAATTCCTTTTATTTCATTTCCTTTGCTCTGTTCTTCTTTTGTCTTTATTCTACATCTCACTCATATTTCCTCTCCTAGTCAGACTTTCTTTACATTCACCACGCTGCCTTTATACCCCCATCGCCCTATTTGCCTTCATTTCTCTCCCTCTCTCTCATTCCCTCTGTTTCTCTCTGCCGCCCTCTCTTTTTCTTTTTCCCTCCTTTGTCTCCCAGTTTCCCTCCATCTCTCTCCTCTCTCTGCCTCTCCTTCCCTCTTTTTCCCCCTCCCGCAGTAGTAGGCAGCAAATGAGAATCAGATGGTTGTAATCCAATACTTCAAATACAGCAGAAATGATGACTCGGGTCTTCTTTGAGCTCTCGTTTCTGTGTGTGTGTGTGTGTGTGTGTGTGTGTGTGTGTGTGTGTATCCATGTGTGTAATGAGAGACCTTTTTTCTGTGTGTGTGTCCATGTACACACTTAGTAATTTTCAGCTTTCTCCTCCCTTTATTTCGCTCTATTCCACTCCCTGTTGTTCTCTCCTTCTTCTCTTTCATTCAGTTTTCTCAGATTTGACAGGGTGCATAATTCATATGCTTCCAGCTCAGTCGCAGCCCTAATTCCATTAGTATTGATCCGTTTCAGCAAACGCAACACAACATATCACACACACGCACACACATATACGCATTAAAACAAGACATTTTCTAACTTGATTTTCTGCATCTCCGTAATTCATTGCTTTCTGACTGCAACAGTGAAATGCACTCTATTGATTTTCATTTTATTTGTGTTTCTCTATGCGTGTGTGCATAATATGTGTGTGTAAGCGTGTGTGTGTGTGTGTGTGTGTGTGTGTGTGTGTTTATCTTGATAGGAATGTCTCCTACTAGAGCATGAAGCCATTTTACAGAAATCAAAAAATGAGGAAAGCTTTACGGTATGATATGATTATTATGTGTGTGGAAGGAGCAGGCCATGGTTGATTTTGTGCTTTTGTTCTGAGAGCGCTCGTCAGAGACACAGGACGGACGGGTTAAAGAAAGGAGAAAAAGAACAACTACAGTCTATTAAACTCAAACTCTTTCAGGCTTACACCCAAATAAGATATTTTAACTTACTCAGACATTCTACTGTTTAAACTTCTGCAAGAACCCTCTAAAAACATCACAATCTTAAATCTGCATTACTGTAAGTTGTATTTTTGATATAAAACTCCTAAAATGTACTTTTATAAGTTTGGGGTACTCGTGAGAGAAACTGCTGATTTGTAATCGATTAATCACTCTGAAGCCCAAATCAGCTCCATATCTATTCTAAATACATCTATACGAGGATTTACTGCTTTTCTCTGATCTATACCATTGTAAACTGAAAGGTGTTATGGTTTGGACCGTTGGTCCATTATAAAATGTTACCTTGGGCTCTGGAAATATTTGATGGATATTTTCCAGTATATCTTTTGACTATTTAGAGAGTTGGCAGATGCATCGATAATGAAAAGAAGCCCTTAAAAGTAAGCTCAAAGTGAAGCTCTTTGATACACTTTTCAATAATGCTACTCAAAAGCATCCTTGTTTAGATCCTCCCAGCCCGGTAAGCACCAATGTCTGTCACACTTTTCTGTTATAAATTTGAAGTCTCCAATAAATGTGTAGCCTACTCCCTTGCCATGAGTGAAAATAAGTGCGGGATGTCTCTTTAAGGGATTTTCTCCTCCAGAACCACAGAAGGCAGTACACTGCTTTCTGCAGGTGGTTTAATGTTCCTCATGACAGTAAACTGACTTTGACATGTTAAATCACTGGTGTGTCGTTTTACCATTCATAAAATGTAATGCTTAATACTGAAACCACTAAATTGCGCTCCCACTCTGCAGCTTTACACGGTGCTTTCAGCCTATTTCAGCCCATTTTTTTTGTTTTCCAGCTGTACATTGTCTTTATTTGAACCTCACAGATCACATCAACAAACATGCCGCCATATAAAACTGTGAGCAGCTGGTTTTCCATTAAGATGCTCAGACAAGCAGCTGCTCACTACCTTTTCAGAGTGAAACAGCAAGAGCCAAAATAAACAAGAGGCAGGTGAAGCAGCTCAGGAGACTTTTTTTATCGGAAGTTGGTGGAAAACCAAAACAACAAAAAACAACAAAATGTGTGACTTGTGTAACCCTGTTTTTGCTGGATGTGCAGTTGTTTGCTAATACATTAACAACAATTTCAATAACCAGCGGTACATCACAGTCAAAAATAACTCAGTGGAGATTTTGTTCTTTGTCTCTCTCCAGGCCTTTGTAGCCACAGGTACCAACCTCTCCCTCCAGTTCTTTCCTGCCAACCTGCACGGAGATCAGAGGCAGGTTCCTGCAAGGGAGTACGTCGACTTTGAGAGAGATACAGGAAAGGTAGGACGAGTGCAAGATACACAAACACACAAATATCCTCTCCGTTGCTCTTCACCTTGTTGATGGTCTGAGTCGCAGCATTGAGATTGGAAAAAATATGTATATTTTTTTCTGATTAAGTGTGTCCAAAATGCATGATGAACTCACCAAACAACTTCTCTTATTCCAAAATCAGTTGGAGTTGAAAACATCTTTGCCATCCATCGCATGCTTTAGTCACGCGCTCTTGATTCATAACACGCATGACAATATGAAACTTTTGACAGAAAAAAAACAACTTTTGGAGAAACGCATGCATCTCTGTCTGCTATTTTGCTTCCAGTTCCTTTTTTTTTTTTTAAATGATAGTCCAGACACCCACGCACAGACAGAAAACATCATGTGAATTTATGAGTGCCAATGTTGAGTTTCATCATCCTGAGCAAGTCCGGGTATTTAGTTTTGTGTACATTGACATCCAACATGTATGTCCCTTATTTAAGGCAATAACCTTTGACAGAATACATGTTGATTTGTGTGTCAGGTTGTGCACAGGTCCACAAAGACAAATTAAAGCAATCAGCTTGCGATCAGCTCCCTGCTGTTCAAAGTTCAGCCTTTAAACCAGTGTGTACTGGGTATTTACTGGTCTGCAGTGCCTGGTGGCTGGTACCACCAAGCATACTCTAAAATCGTGGTGATCCCGATCACACAGGTGAAATCACTGCTGAGCTTCTTTCCACACCTATGTTTGTTGCTCAGTAGTGCCCGTGCCTGATCAAGATCAAAGTTAAACAACTTATAGAGCTCAGAAGATGTTAGTCTGCTGCTGTTGTCAAGGTGACATCAGCTGTACAGTGCAGTGGTGCTGCTGCTGTTGTGTTCATGTGTATGCTAATTGTCTCCCCTGGCGCTAAGTCTGGATTTTGTGTGTGTGTGTGTGTGTGTGTCAGAAGGCCCTCCACGGACACTGGCCAGCTGAAATGAATGCCGTGTGGCGGCTCATTAAAAATGCATTCTGGGAAATCGATGGACCTCCATGCCCCAAGGCTGACAGACTAATCTCACACTGTTAATTATTTAACACAAGTGGCCTGATGGTTGGGAGCTGTGTGTGTGTGTGCGTGCTTGTGTTTATGGCCGTTTTGCAGAAGAGATTTCTGATGTGGTGTGTGGCAGACAAAGGGAGAACTAGACTGTATGCATGTGTATGGCAGAGACGGAGAGTGTTGGGTTGTGTACGTGTGTGTGTGTAAGACGATACCCTCTTCTTTGTCACCTCAACGGTGCTCACAGATCTATGAAGTTTTAATGAGGCTTGGAGGCTTCAATGTAAAGCAGTTTCACAGTGTTTCTGTAGAACTGAAGCTGAGCGTGCACACACGCGCACACACACACACACACACACACACACACACACACACGTCTGAGGATCATGATCAAAGTGCTGACAGTCTGCTCTTTTTGCCCATATCCAAAACATGTCATGATATACTGGCAGTGACTCACAATACGTTACTCCAGATCTGAAATGCTATTTTCATGCAGCTCCAACGAAAGACAAACAAGTATAAAGTTTCAGTCTTTACTTTAATGTAATATTCATTCATATTCCACTCGTATGAAAAAGGACAGGTGAGTGCAGAATGTGGTTTCTGTGTGCAGTGAAAAGAAATATTCTTTAGAAGAAAGAGGACAGCTCCACTCAGTCGTTCCAATGCAGAGCCTTTAATTGTGTACCAAGTGTACATTTTCTGCTGTGTTGCCTCCACCAGGAATCCAGCTTTCATTTCATACACACAAACACAAAGAAACACACGCACACATATACACGCACACACACACACACACACACACACACAGCCCGCCCTCCGATCTGGCTGGACCTCCCTGTAGAATACAACTGTCAAGCCGTGGCAGAGTTTTTGTGTACGTTGCAACTTCTTCTCTTAATTACTGTCACAGCTAAGCTACACACACTCATATGTCTGATGCTTGGTGATGGTTATTTATCTTGAAGTATTTTTAAAAAAAATTTTTATGCTTCCACAATGTTCGGTAGAGCCTGAAAAGAATTTACCTTTTTTGAAATTGTAATATTATTCTTTTTTCAATTATGTATTTTATGTCAGACCTATTTCTTTATACAACACACAAAGAAAGAGGTTATTAGAGTTATTATGAATGTGTAATAGCAATACGGAGTAGCATTGAACATAAATTTGAATACTGGGGTAGAAATAATAATCAGGTCTGCTGTCTTCAGTTATGGGGAACAGGGGAAAAAGAAGAGTTGAAAAGGAGGAGACGGTAGCTCATGAACTATAACTGAGACCGAGGCACCAGGTCACTGTTTTGGCCTCTCTGACTTTATTTTTATTACTTTTCTCCACAGGTTTTCTTTCATTCACATTCTTTTCTTTTTCCTGTTTGTTATTCTTGTGGCATTCTATATCATCCATGCTGCTGTCCCCCCACCCTCCCCCTCCTTCGTTCGTTCCTTATGTTCTTTTTTTTTTTATTACTTACATCCTCGTTCCCACCGTACATCCCCCTCTCCTCCCTCCTTTTATCCCCCCCTCCTCCCCTCTTTCACGCAATCACTCCTGTCCTCCCCCCATCCACTCCCCCCTTCCGTTCCTCCCTCTCTCCCGCCTTCATTTCCACACACAGACGTGCCAAACCAAAAGCAAAGCACAGCCAGGTTAAACTTGGCGACTGAATATCGTGTGTGTGAAAGAGAGAGAAAGAGTGGAAGTACAGGCTCTCAGTGATGTTGCAGGCTAATGGGAGCCAGCTGTGGACGAGGGTCATTTTAGTGTTAGCTGCTAACTTGCTAGCAAGCGTTAACCCAGTCCTATGAATTATAGCATCTGCAGCTGGTTTAGCAGCAGACACTCTAAATGTAGTTTGCTCATTTTAGATTGTTTAAGTTTTGTAGCTGAATCCAAACACTAGATATAATTGTTCAAATTTACAGATATGAACTTAACTGACTTTCCCCCTGGAATTTGTATCGTAGCCCTACATACTGTGCCAAACTGTGATTTGCTAATTTCTTTAGCACATCCCCTTCATCATAAGTGAGCTACATTTCCCTTTGACATATAACGCTCTCTGTGACTTCAGCTTAACTCCCGGCCCCTCCCGTGGTTCCTCACATACATGTCCCCCTTGTTGGTAAAAGGTTTGTGGTTTGCGTGATCATTAACTCTTTAATCGCTGACCCATTTCAATGTTTTCATAATGTCAGACATTTCGCCTATTTCATTCATCCATTTCTTGTCATCCAAAGAGTTGTGTTTGTGGTTTCCTTTGTGTGAAGAAACTTCCATGCTTCTTGTGTCCTTCATGTGAATCAGATACTGGTCTTTCTTTCCGTCCTACACGCCATCCTATCCGTTTGCCTAACCACCTCCTCTGTGTGTGTTTGTGTTTGTATGTATGAAAAATGTAATGTATTCAGTTAACCTGGTATACTGCACAGAATGTGTCACACTTAAATATGTATATATATATATATATATATATATATATATATATATGTATATATAGGTAGCAGTCTTTTTTTAACTGGCTCTTTGAAAATCTCAGGTTTTCCAACCACGCATGAACAAAACAAGGGTGGAGCGCTGCTGATGAAACATGTTAAATTGATTAGCATGACAGCAGCTCTGCAGGAGTTACTGGTAATTTTCATTACATTTTCACCAAAGTGACAGGGGGAAGAGGCCTCAAACTATTTTTTCGGTCATGACCACTTGGAACAGGTTGAGATTTGTTTTCGGAACTGTAAAAACTGCCTCCAGTAGTGACCGTTAACTGGTGGAAAAGTCATATTTGAGCATGTGACTGTAGACGAGGTTGAAACCACATGAATTACTCGAGTTTCACCGTTGAAGGTTGTTTCTTAATGTGCAGTTTGTGTGTGTCTGTGTGTGTGAGTCTATGTGTGTGTGCAGTGAGTGTGTGCACTATACTCCTGCATGCTGATGAGATGGTGGCGCCAGACTGATTGCTAAGCCTTAGACACACATATATCATCGCACAACATAACACACAAACATATAAACAGTAAACAAAACCTAAGACAGAGAGAAAAGAATGAAAAGAGTGAAAAGAGGCTGAAAGGACGGACAGAGATTCGCGGTTGTAGGGAGGGGGACTGAATGAGTAGCAGACGAGTGTCTGTCAGCTACATGATGGAGGAGGGCGGACTGTCACGAAAAAGCTCAAACACAAAAACCCAGCACAGAAACACATTTCATGAGCAGTTTTCATTCTCAAACTGTTTCCTGTATATGTATGAACACAGCATCTCTTTAAAAAGAATCTCCATGAGGAGAATCATGCAACTGCTTATGTGTGTGTGTGTGTGCGCGTACGTCCGTAAGTGAGTGAGTGTGCACCTCTGTGTCTGTCCACCGCTAATTTCACACACTGCTGCAGCAAACTATATAATATTTTGGGTGCCAAGTTATGGCTGTATGTTCAAAGACTCTCATCGTTGTGACTCAAACATTAGATTGGTGGTCATTAGGGGATCTGCACTCTACTGACGCGACTTCACCAATTTTAACTATTATAAATCTATTTGACTTCCGTGTTTTAATGCAACAAATTAGCAAAAAACGGCCAAAGGGATGAATACTTTTGCAAATATAGGCATGCTAGTAAACTTAACTGATGTGGTGAACATGGTTGACATTATACCTGCTAGACATCAGTATGCTGCATTGTAATTGTCAGCATGTTATTAGCATTCAGCTCAAAGCACCGCTGTGTCTACAAGTGCAACCTCACACAGCCGCTAGCATAGCCGTAGAGTTTTGTGTTCATTAATAAAATAATGACCATGAGCCTTTAATGCAACAAGAAGTCACTCCCAACTTTTATTTCCTCTAATGGTCTTGAAACCTCCGTCCCACATTAGATACCATTATTGTCCTGGCAGATAAAACTTGTTCCAGATTAATATGAGTCAATAGAAAATTTGCCAAATATGGACACAGGTGTTGGTG